AAGTGGAAGCAGCAGCCCAGGTCTTATGGAAAATGCAAGAGGAATTTTGAACTCATGTGGCTCTATTATCCTTCATTTATACAAACCTAGTTAACTCATTGGGAGCAGTCACATGTATGTAGCTGAGGGCTGAACTTTACCGATATGCTCTAAGGACCCAATGACAGCCACTGCAGCAACAACTACTTAAAGTGAGCCAGTTAGACCTCTCATCTGAATTTACACAAACTGCTTAATCCTCTGTGGCTTGGTTCAGCTCCCCTTCTGTAAAATGGGGATAATAACCCTTCCTTTTTCCACCAGGTCTATTTAGCTTGTAAACTCTTTGGAGCAGTGAAGAAGTATCACTTACTATGTGTCTGCCCATCACCTCACAATGGAGCTCTGGGTTCAGCTGGGACCTCTAAGCAGTACTGTAATACCAATAACAAGGGGGGTGAACTGCTCACCAGCTAGGATTAGGTATAATATAACACAGTTTGGTGCATCATACAGAGGCAGAAGGAGATCCCCAATGCTCTGAAATACTTTTAGAAACAGCATACCAGACTAGATGGACTGTTGTTCTGTTGATAGAAGTTCGGGAAGGAAAAGGTCTGTTCGGATAGGAAATCTATCCCATTGCAAACATAACATCTAGTCCCTTGCACTGTAAGTTATTCTGTCCAGATAACATTTTTGAGGGGAGGGGGCAATGTTGGAATTATTTATAGAACTGATTTTTTTAAACTGTATTATTTCAAAACCTGCAAGGCTTTGAAACAGCTGCCCCGGGAGTCTGACTATAAAGAGTGTATAGCTAGGGATTACTATGTTCTGCTTACACTGAAAACAACTTGGGGGGTGGGGTCCCAATAATAATTGACATTTTCCAAGGATCATTTTTCAAAAAATAAAAAAGGGGTTGCCTGGGGGCGGGGGGGAAGAGAAAATGGAAAGTTTCTTTTAACAGGACTTTCACTAGCAATTCACACCCCGAGTCACGTGCCTTACCTGGAAGATGACATGGTGGCAAAACAGGTAGCCTGTTTACACTAGCACATAGCACCTCCACAGTCACTAGCACAGGGAGAGCTGAACTGGTAGCAGCAAGGGCAGGAAATGTTAAGAAAAATAATCTCGTGTAGACACAGACTTTTATACCGATGCCTTCCACACTGCTTCCACACGTAAGCCTGCAAAGCTCCGTATATTGGTCCCAGTCCCTAGCTGGAGTTCATAGACATAGGTTATGGCAAGTTACACCACATGCGGATGTGGCTTGCTGTGGTCAGTAGATAGAGCAGTGTAGAATACGTGGAGCACTGATAGGATAATACCTACCTCGACAGGGCGCTGTGCGGATTAATGAGGGCTTGTGAAGCTCTTTGAGATCCTTAGCTGCAAGACACCAAGCAGCCTGTTCATGTCAAAGAAAACAATCTAAGGGCCTGACCTCAGCTGGTGTAAAGTGGAGTAGCTCCATTGTAGTCAAAGGGGCTCATCACAGAGATAAGGATCTGTACGCAAAGATCTGACTGAAGAAGGTCTAGGTCTTTAACATGAGCATAACTGGCTCCCAAGAACAGTTCTCCAAGAACGGTGTATAATCATAACAATCCATTTCTAGATGAGTCTGCAAGGCAGCTACAATCTTTAAGACTAGTCTCAATGGGCTGTGTCCCTTTACAATGAACATATTTAAAAGAAAAAAACACCCTAACTAAATAAAACCATTTGATTTTACAGATAGGGTTAGAACATTCTGTGCAAGCTACTGCTGTCTCTGTCTGAGACAAAACATTCTTCTGGGGGTATTTTAATTAGCCTGCTGCTCATTTAAAAAAAAAAGTTCATTATAGGGATCCTTGAGACCCAGCCTAGTTCAGCTTGGGCCAGAATGATTAACTGGCATCAAACGACCATGCTTAGGAACAAATCACTATAAAATCACCTCTTAGTCCTGATCTTGCTTCCATTTTTCCACTGAGTTCAATAAGTACTGCCAGGTACTGCCACCCCTACTCTTAGTGAGTACTACCTGTTTCACAAATAGATCCATTGATTCCAGTGGGACTAACTGCAGAGTAAGTTACTCAATGGGCCTGGCCCAAGGCCCACTGAAGTCAATGGAAAGACCCCTATTGACTTTGATGGGATCTGGATCAGGGCCAATGGAAGGGGAGGCAGAATCTGGCCTACTCGCAGCAGCATAGGGCCCATAGTCTGTTAGTCTAATCGATTTTGGCATTTATCTAGCACTACCCATTGTGGGTATTTAGGCGTAATTCAACTACAGTTGTGTTTGTGTAACCCACACACCTCCTGAGTGTGGTTTCTGTCCCATCCAGTTGCGCCGAAACCACTTAGAGAGAGATGAATGACTTTGCTCTACGGCCTTAACTAAGGGCCATGTGGCTTTTAGCTCATGCAGTAGAGGCTCATGCATTTAGCTTCAGAGATCCCAGGTTCGCTCTCGCCCGCCAACAACCGGGGTCTGCCGGTGTTATATTTGCAGTTACATTTTAAAACAGCAGCTCTTGCAAATGACATGTTAAAATGCAAAATAAAACCTAGGGACTCAATCCATAAAGGGATTAGGTATCGCAATGCTCAGTGTTGCAGCATCTAACTTTTAGATGTCCTGCCACCCAGTGGAATCCACAGGCCCGAGCTCTGCACCCAGACTTTCTATACAATGAATGGGGAGAGATAGGTGCCTAAGAATGAAATCCACAAAGACCAGCACGTTGAGCAGGGAACCACCTAAGCTAACCAATAGCAGATGCCAAGGAAAGGGTGTGACCTAAGCCCCGCCCCTCTCAGGGAGTTAGTGCCTAAATCCCTTTGTGGATCTGGGCCTCCACCTCTATGTAGCCCAGATGACAAGAGTTAAAAAGCACAGTGAAAGGTTAGCTCAGGGGTGGGCAACCTTGATTTTCAGTGGCACTCACACTGCCCGGGTCCTGGCCACCAGTCCGGGGGACTCTGCATTTTAATTTAATTTTAAATGAAGCTTCTTAAACATTTTAAAAACCTTATTTACTTTACATACAACAATAGTTTAGTTATATATTATAGACTTATAGAAAGAGACCTTCTAAAAACATTAAAATGTATTACTGGCACACAAAACCTTAAATTAGAGTGAATAAATGACGACTCGGCACATCACTTCTGAAAGGTTGCCGACCCCTGGGTTAGATGCTACCCGTGACCTCATTCAAAGAAACCATTTGTTCGTGGAAGGCTTTAATAGCTAAGATCACATCCTACCTTTGTTCCATGTGCAGAACCCCCACTGAAATGAATGGCAGTTTTGAGCAAAATTCAATCCCAGAATTCATTTTTGTGCTGCACTTGAGGAAAGTTTAGACTTTTACTAAGTGCAGAACGAAAAAGGGCAGCTGAAGGTTAGTTTCACATTTAAGAATTTTGGGCCAACTGCTGCTCTCAGTTACACCAATATAAATGTGGAGTAATTTCATTGATGTCAAATCCAGAGTAACTCTATTATCTCATATTCATTGGGCCAGAGAAAGAGTGAGAATGACTCTGCTGGCCAGCGTTTAGGGCACTCGCCTGGGAGAACCAGCTTCCAGTTCCTGCCCTGCTGAGTATTTAAGGATTTCATACAAAGTGGAACAGCTTCACCAGGAGAGACTGAGAAACCCCCAGGCCAGAATGACCTTTAGCCCAAGGGTTAGGGCACTCACATGGGAATTGGAGACATGGGTGCAAGTCCTTGCAAAGAGGATTTGAACCTAGCCTTTCACTTCTCAGCTGAGTACCCTAACCCCTGGCACACTGCATATGTGCATAATCATCACCTGAGCTTTATGATGGGCCTGATCTGCTGTGCTCTTAGGTGGCATCTGAAAATGCCCATCGGACCAGGCCCCACAGACCACATAGGCAGGAGAAATGCCTAGTTTGAGGATCCCACTGGTGCTTAAGCACAAGCTAGACACTTGGCACCAGGAATCAGGAAGCTTTGTGCATGTGGGAATGTAGGTGCCTAAGGGATTTTAACAGCAAAAATTGGCATCTACAGGGGGAGGCAGCATCTGAGCAGGGGTTTTAAAGATCTAAATTTTGGACTTAGGTGCCTAACATGGCAGTTAGGTCCCTAAATCCCTTTGCAGATCTAGCCCTCAACATCCACATCCGCAAGAGAAGTTGATCAACTATTATTCATGTAAAAATAAGAAGCTCAGGACAGGTAACACAACTGGAAAATGCATCTTCATCAGGATTCACTTTGGGGTTTCGTCAATATCGCAGGAAAGTTACAGAAATCCAATCTCTCCTCTCAAAGATGACTGCACCAGCCCAGCCCATTAATTCAGCCACTGGCAAGTACAACACCATTTTAAAGCAGGCCCAGTGCTGCCAAGTTCTATGCATTAGGCCATTTGTTTGGGGGCAACTGGCTATAAAGGGGCACAGGATGAAAGAATCTCAAGCTATTACAAACTATCAGTGGCATGAATGCATCTACTGACTTTCAGCATTAGTGCCCTCTCTATGTATATAGTCAAAGGGGTTATATGTGAAAACAAAGCATAATGGCATATTGTACCTGCATCATGTAGTATATAGTGGAAGCCTCCTATAGCAAAGTCAGTTAGAGGTTCATTGTAACTGGAATTGCAGCTTGCACACTGCAATCCACTTGAATAATTCGCTGGGGACCAATCTTGAGAGGCGCTGAGCTCCCTCCACTCCCTCTGCGCTCAATGGAAGCTGAAGGTGCTGAGCACCTTCCAAGATCATGTCCCGGAAGCAGGTTGCACTGTATTTAAAACAGGCAAGCAGACTGACTATCCCGTCCTAGCAAGAGGACAGTCGCTGTGACCTGCATCTCCACAGAATGACTCACAGTGGAGCGCTGCTGACTGCGATTCTGAGCTTTTCTTGATGCTATCCAGACTCTAATGAAGCCTTCACCGACTGCAGCCAGATCGGGCTTCACAAGCAGCACAGATTGGTTTTTTGCTGTGTAATAACTTCTCTCTTACCTGTCAAAAACCACCGCAGCGTAGGCTGGCTCCGCGAAGATGACATCCCCAGCCCAGAATTCCTTGACTGCTTTCAACCCCCTGCCTTTGCCTTCTGAAGTGAACACTTCCACCATCTCCATTTCCCCTGGTGTCATGTCAGGGAAACCAGGCTTGCAACGCAGGTCTCCCACTGTGAGCCAGGTCCCTTGTCACTCCGCTTTTTCAGCACCTTTGGGTTGCACAGACCAACCCTAGAAATAGATGGTCCCCATCACACCCACCTACATGAGGCTGTACCATTTTCCACTTGTGGGGGGAGCTTTTTACTTCATATAGTTGTAAGCCCAGAAATCAAAGGGGCTGGTCCTGCATGACCAGCACTGTTTGCTTCATTAGGATAAGCCCGTCTGAAAAACACGACGGAATTATTTTCCCAAGCTGAAAGCATTCATATAGGTTATGGCCACAGAGTCTAATTAACCCTCTCCCATTGGAAAGAGCACGTATTTTCTTTAGGAGGGTATTTTTAGAAACCACATGCTTCTGTCTGTCAGGAGCCAACAGCTGAGACAGTGGTAAGTGGTGGGCTGGTGTGTGTCCCTTGCGCTGTCATCTGGTCTCTTTCAGTAAGGAAACAATGCTGCTTCCCCCCCCACACACACCCCAGTGAGATTTACAGTAGGAGAGAGGGGGCCGTAGTCAAATACGTGCCCCGAGTGCTGCTGGAGAAGACAGGCCTGGAAAAGTCGCTTTTCAAATGCCAGCCAAGTAGCTCATAGAAGGGGAATATGCTGGAAGGACTGCAGAAACTTGGCGTCTCTTTCAGCGTAGGCTTGCCATGTAAGCTATTCCCTTCAGTGTTTAATAGGCTAAGCTCAATGAAATAACATGCCGGAGGACTAAATTCACCCAAGTTCCTCTCCGCTGAATTGGATGGATGAACTGGGCCCACAGAGCACAAGAGGAAGAGAATTATTACCAGGGAGTTCAATTAAATTACAAAAATGGGGACCAGTTTCTGCTCTCCCTTTACAGCAACTGTCGTAAAGTGGTCATCAAGGGGTTAATTGGGTTACTCCGAGTTTTAGGGGTTGGTGCCATGCTCCACCCCTACCCCTCACTGGTTAGTTAGTGGGAGTTTCCCCCAGCTGTGTTAGGGGGCATGCATTTAATAAAGCAGCACGTTCCTAGCCTGCAGGCCTGAGAGTAGGCTTGTTTTTGCTGCATTGAGTGGTCCCTTTACAAACCCAGTCAGTGTAAATCCGGAACAACTTCACTGAGGTTGGCGGGGTTGCTCCACATTCACACTGCTGTCGCTGAGGCGAAGAATGTGGCCCTGGACTCTCCATCAGCTAAATACTGCTATTTAGCATCTTACAGTTCTTCAATGAGACTTTGCACTTTTAAAGTTCATGGTAACCGCACATGCCCATCACATTGGTATTTGAGCCCATTTCATCCCAGGGTCTCAAAGTGCTTTATAAACACTCATGGATTTAGTATCCCTGTTTCCCTGAGAGGCAGGTAAGAATTATACACTTTAACTGATGGGGAAACAAAGGCACAGAGAGATGATGTGGTTAATTTTTTATATATATATATATATATATATATATATATATATATATAG